TGTGTTTAATGAACCTAGTTGAAAATATTCGTTTAATATTGACTGAATGGTGAATTTAATTCAGATTTTTAACAGTAGAGAAAAGAGAAACTGGTGAAAATGACAGGTTGAATACCAAAGAAAAAAATACTATCATTTGTCTCTTCATAGCCTATTTGTCATCTACATATGTTGCAGACCGAGTGTGTACGCGTTCTGAGATGAACACGTGTGTCTCCTGAAATGTCCCACAACAAATATGGCGGTCTCGGAGCTTGAATCCGCCAAAAGAAACAACAGAAAATTAATGTCTATTAACCAACAAACGGTTTACAAAATGACATAGACAATAATATGTATGTGTACGAATTGTGTAAAGGTTTTGGTCTAATGTATGTGGATGAAAATTTGTTATACAGATTTCTTGCGCAAACTGTGTGTGTTGTGCGTGTGTGTGTGTGTGTCTGTGTGTCTGTGTGTTTTTGTAAAAAATGACGTTTCCCCATCTCTTCGCAAATCTATTCAGAATTTACGTTGTTTTAGTCACAACTTGTCCTGATAAAAAAAAATTGGTCCAAAGATCTCGCCGAGAAACGGAGAGCGTCCCTTAGTAACGGTTTCAAAAATTAGGAGGATTTGTAGGCAAATGTATTCGACCTCTAGTGTAATTAATTCCGATTAATCGCTCTTAATATGATATTTACTAGAACAGATCAATACAAGGTTCGATAAGGCATAGCAAAAACAACAACAATAATTATTATTATTATTTATTATTACCTTTATAATTAGCAATACTTTTACATTTGTATGATATACGACCTGCACAACTTACCCCTTGTCAGGGACCCCTTCAGGGAGTAGGCGATCATGACCCTCTACTTCCCCCTATCTCTTGTAGCTCTCAATAAGTTTTGTTCATTTGCTAATTCCCCCAGGCCACATTCTGTCACCCACTTGCTTAAGCCCGCCAGGTATGTCATTCGTTGCATTCACTTGTCTCTGATTTCCTCTATATGACCTGTGAGTATCAGATTCTGCAGGCCCTCCTTTCTCATTACGTGTCCCAGGAATTTCAGCTACCTTTTTCTGATGTTAAGTATAAGCTCCCCCTTGTTTGCATCCTCTTCAAAACCTCATCATTGCTCACATGCTCGATCCATGATATCCTCAGCATCCTTCTGTAGACACATAACTTAGTCTCCTCGAGTCTCTTCATCTTTGAGGAGTCCGTCCATCTTTTGCTGTTTAAAAGAGGACAAATGTCACGTACTCTTTATTTCTTACCAAAGAAATCCTCCTGTTTCGTAAGACTCTGTCTAGCTTTTGAAAGGCGTCTTTGGTCATCCCAATACGACTTCGGCTTTCAGCGTCGCACTTACCGTCCTCTGTCAAAAACACTTCCCAGATATTTAAACTTCCGCACCTACTTGATTTTAGTGTCCCCGACTTATAAATCGCATTTCGAGCTCATCCTTTTACTGATGACCATGCATTCTGTTTTCTTGAAATTTATGCTTAGTCCCTTCTTCTCACTCTCCTTTGCTACCTTCTGTAGGAGGTTTAGTAATATCTGTTCCGTGTCTGCTATCAGTACTGTGTCATCTGCGTATCTTATGTTGCTAAGATCGTGGTTAGAATGCTGAATCCTTGCTTTATGGCCCTTTTGTATTTTTCTAAGCCTTCTATATCTCACGATTCGTATTTTCAAACCTTCTTCTATGCAGAATCGTTCCAAATCGTTTTGAGTCGATGACTTCTGTTAATGGACGTCAATTTTCAATTCCTTCAGAAATGTTTACCTGGATTTAGGCCATGGCATTTACTTTCTAATGGTACACCTTCTGGAGTAGTTTTCGAAATACCTTATTAATCTGTTGTGTTGCTGGGAGATAAATATCGTACAAACACTAAGATGGATAACAGAGGAAAAATTTTTCCGAATAATCGCGATTATTATCAGGATTTTTTCGATCTTGATAATTTTCCATGTATTTGCTTCACTTAAGCTAACTCATTGAGGAGGCACGATGGAGTATTGAGGATTCGGAGAGCCGAGTTCGAATTCCACTGGAATCAATTACATTCACTTACGTGCTAATAGCCTTAGGAAACGTATGGATCCTCTTCATCCCCCCCCCAGCTATGAGTAAATAACAGGCCAGACCGGCTTCTAAAGCCTTGGTTGACAACTTGTCGAGGTGAAGGAAAACTCTGAATTCAAAACCTGATCTTCCAGGTTGGGGGCTGTACAGTAGGCTAACAACCTACTCACTTAAAATCTGGCTTGTTATAGAAACTGCAACGATATCTTGCAGCCCTAAGATCCTCAAAGAATTTAAAGACATAATATATATGAATGATATAAAAGCATAATCTATAACACAAACACACACACACACACACACACATATATATATATATATATATGATATAAAAAGCATAATCTATAATATATATATACACATATACATGATATAAAAGCATCATATATATATATGATATAAAAAGCATAATCTATAATATATATATACACATATATATGATATAAAAGCATAATATATATATATATATAATATAAAAGCATAATCTATAATATATATACACATATACATGATACAAAAACATATTAATATATATATGATATAAAAGCATAATCTATAATAAATATATATATACATATACATGATACAAAAAATATAATATATATATATATATATATATATATATATATATATATATATATATATATATGATATAAAAGCATAATCTATAATAAATATATACACACATATACATCCAAAAGTTCCATTTTTGTAGCATATTTTAAACGATACCTTTTCATGTATTCCTTTTTTTATCAGTAGTGATTCTTTTCCTTTTCTTTTCTTTACATCCTTACTTTGAAATCCTATTCGGTCCCTTATTCTCCGAATTGCTGAGACATGGGCATCGATTTCAAAGATCTTCAGATTTGTCAGGATATGCTTGACATTTGATCTCAAACTTCTTTTGTAATTTTTATCACACTTCATGTTGAAATCTTTCTTGGTATGATTTTACAATTATTAATAGGATACTAATTTATTTCTTCTTACAGTCGCTGGGTCAGATAAATTGTATCAAACTACTTGAAAGTTTTCTTATAGCCTTCCCCGGAATGATTTACCTCAATCAAATTCTTTTTCAGATACTCGGTTTTCGGGATTATTAAAAAAAAAAATGTTTAATTTGTAAAAATAATTGATATGCGTCTTATAACCTGATTTTGTGCATTTCGACATATAGCCGGTATAAGTGTGGATCAAATTCTTCTGATGTAATTTACCACCAATTTTATTTCACTGCGGATCAAAAATCTATAAAAAAAAAAATTCTTGCGAATTGTGGAAATATTATTATGTCTTATTTATTATCAATTCACTGGAACTGGGTAAATGAATTTCATTAAATCAAATTTTCAATAATTAATCAGAAAAAATCAGAATTGAAATATTATTTCAGTATTATATTACCTAAGAGCGACACGACCTATTAAAGTGTTGGATAAAACATGACTGGTTTTCTGTTAGTTTTGCTTTTTATGACTGGACCTGTTTATAATCAAGTACCTAATAGGAGTAGATAGGTACGACTATCTCTTTGTTCACATTCTTCTGAACTGGATAATAGGTTTATCCCTTGTTTCGGTTTAGGATTGGGTTTCCTGTTCCGTCTAAAGTTTACTTTAATTCAAACGTCTCAGCGCCTAAACTCTGAAATTTTATTTACTATTTATTTATTTATTTTTCTTCTCAATAGAAGTAGATAAACCTATACTCCTGGGTGAGCTTATCTCTTGTTTCCTGTGTTCCGATTCCATCAAAGTTTTTTTAAAAATGTTCTTTCACTCCCAGCAGCCCCTTGCGTCTTAGCATTATCGACATGCTTGAGGTGAATTGATAAAAAAAAAGACACTGGGAATCTGTTTTTTAATGGTGTTAAAGAATAGTTTCAGACTATTATTTTTAGTTGCAGTTTATTTTAGTTGAGACTTTCTGAGGCTGAAAGCTAAGGACAGATGATAGGCAAAATAGGGAAGTCAATGTTGATTGGCTTAGCTGAACTTGGGAATGAGTTATAGATTAGTGAAACTGCGTTTATACAAACCCCCTCCCCTAAGCGGGCTTGGATCTTTTGAGAGTTCGTTGTTGCACGTAATACGGTGTATAATAACCCACACTTGCTAGAAGATGTACCCGTCGACTTGGTTAATAATAGGTAAGTTAAAAGAGATCAAAATTTTCCTGTTTCTTAATGTTTTCCTTAGATTTTTCAAGGCATCTTTCCATATCGCAATGCACCTTCGGATTTCAGTGTCGTACTTTATAAATTCTAAATACTTCAAATACCTCTGAATATAGACCAGGTATAACAAATTTAGTATAGGAGGAAACTGAGAAGACAAAGTAGGTTGTGCTAGGATAGTTTTCCTCAACACTGCACGATACTACTAAACGAAAATATTAACATAAGAGTTTTAGTCATGTACTTAAATAACGTTGTAAGATGTAGACGCTCATGTGGATATAATGCATGACGTCCAGCTCGAACAGAAATGTCCAAACTATCAGTTATAGACAAAGTTTTCTCAGTTGAAATGATTAAAATTGTCTTCAAGCGAATGAATCCACATGTTCTTATGACAATCAATTTATTAGATCTCATGGAATGAGGTTTTAAAATCACAAGAAATGACAAATATAGTATCACTTGAACATTTCCCAACAGCAGCAAAAACTAAAGTGGGTAACGCAGGTAACTAAGAAGTAAACTAAGACTATAATCAAGATGTTCACTTTCCACACTGCCTTAAGAAAAATGCTAGGAAGGAAACTCCCATCAGCAGTAGACTGAAGAAGTCTATTTTCCTGAAAGACTGTTTAAAGAGAAATATTTTTTTAATAAATTCCATCGGACAAGAACATTAATTGATCCTTCAAGGAATGGCTTACGTTTTCTATAGTGAAACGGTTGCTCTCATGATCTATATCTATGTAATACTAAAGTATGTGAATCGTGCGTGCGTAAGCCGTCGGGTGCATAAAGATTTAAGATTCTTTCCAGCTCTCTCTCTCTCTCTTTCTACATCTCCTTCTTCCCAGCTCCCTCTCTTTCCAACTTCTTCCCAGCTCGCCCTTTTTCCAGCTCTCCCTCTTTCCAGCTTCTTCCCAGCTCTCCCTCTTTCCAGCTTCTTCACAGCTCTCTCTCTTTCCAGCTTCTTCCCAGCTCTCCCTCTTTCCAGCTTCTTCCCAGCTCTCCTTATTTCCAGCTCTCCCTCTTTCTACCACTCCCTCTTTCTACCACTCCCTCTTTCAGCTTCTTTCCAGCTCTCCCTCTTTCCAGTTCTCCTTCTTTCCAGCTATCCATCATTTCAGCTTCTTCCCAGCTCTCCCTCTTTCTACCACTCCCTTTTTCCAGCTCTCCTTCTTCCCAGCTCTCCCTCTTTCAACCTCTCCCTCTTTCCAGCTTCTTCCCAGCTCTCCTTCTTCCCAGCTCTCCTTCTTCCCAGCACTCCTTCTTCCCAGCTCTTCCTCTATCTACCTCTCCCTCTTTCCAGCTTCTTCTCAGCTCTCCCTCTTTCTACCACTCCCTTTTTCCAGCTCTCCCTCTTCCCAGCTCTCCTTTTTCCCAGCACTCCTTCTTCCCAGCTCTCCCTCTTTCTACCTCTCCCTCTTTCCAGCTTCTTCCCAGCTCTCCCTCTTTCTACCACTCCCTCTTTCCAGCTCTCCCTCTTCCCAGCTCTCTTCTTCCCAGCTCTCCTTCCTCCCAGCTCTCCCTCTTTCTACCACTCCCTCTTCCCAGCTCTCCCTCTTTATACCTCTCCCTCTTTCCAGCTTCTTCCCAGCTCTCCTTCTTCCCAGCTCTCTTTCTTCCCAGCTCTCCCTCTTTCTACCTCTCCCTCTTTCCAGCTTCTTCCCAGCTCTCCCTCTTTCTACCACTCCCTTTTCCAGCTCTCCCTCTTCCCAGCTCTCCTTCTTCCCCCAGCTCTCCTTCTTCCCAAAATCCTTCTTCCCAGCTCTCCCTCTTCAGTACCACTCCTCTTCCCAGCTCCCCTCTTTCCAGCTTCTTCCCAGCTCTCCTCTTTTCTACCACTCCCTTTTCCAGCTCTCCCTCTTCCCAGCTCTCCTTCTTCCCAGCTCTCCCTCTTCCCAATAGTCTCCTCTTTCCTTCTTCCCAGCTCTCCCTCTTTCTACCACTCCCTTTTTCCAGCTCTCCTTCTTCCCAGCTCTCCTTCTTCCCAGCTCTCCCACTTTCTACCTCTCCCTCTTTCCAGCTTCTTCCCAGCTCTCCCTCTTTCTACCACTCCCTTTTTCCAGCTCTCCCTCTTCCCAGCTCTCCTTCTTCCCAGCTCTCCCTCTTTCTACCTCTCCCTCTTTCTACCACTCCCTTTTTCCAGCTCTCCCTCTTCCCAGCTCTCCTTCTTCCCAGCTCTCCCTCTTTCTATCTCTCCCACTTTCTATCTCTCCCTCTTTCTACCTCTCCCTCTTTCCAGCTCTCCTTCTTTCCAGCTCTCCCTTACCGCCTCTCCCCCGGTCTTATGAAGTTCGTCCCTTGTTTCTTAATTAGGATTGTGTTTCTGGTACCTTCTGAAGTCTTCTTCATTCTCTTCATTCCTAGTGCCCCACCTTGCATCTTAGTGACTTTTTCACCTTGCTTAAGGTGAATTGATTAAAAAAATTGATACGTTTTCTCACGACAAGCAAAATAGTTAACGCTGTTGCTTTTCCAAATGTACCTTTGGTATCTAACGAATAAACCAACTGACCAGCATTCGACATTAACATCAAGGTAGTATTTTATATTTCAACTTACTTGAGAAAATCCCGACCCACGAAATTGAAGCATTAGCCTGTAAAAGTGTTATCATTTACATGGCTTAGCCGAGTAAATAATTATTCCCTGAACAAATAAAATAATAAAAAGAAACAAAACTACATACTCCGCCATTTTGCAACTCACAAAAAGCATTTTTATTATTATTATTATTTTTATTATTATAATCATTATTATCTTATAATTATAATTATCAATAATAATTTTATCATTTTCATAATAATCAGCAGCAATCGTTCAGAGTCCAGTTTATTATTTTGTGGTAAACATCTTTTTGTTTTTGAATTTCTCACTTCATTATTTATTTACATTCATTCTCTCATTTTCGACTTGATTCATTCATTCACTCATGTCTGTGACTTGCATTCAAGCATTCTTTCGTTACATTTCCCTTTCATACATATTTTCTTTTCTTCACTTCTGAGATGTGTTCGTTTGTATTTTTAAGACATTTTATCTTAGATGTGGGGAAAAAGTTTTTTAAATTTTTCTTTTCTTTTTTTTTTTTTTTTAAATATATTCTCATATATATATATATATATATATATATATATATATATATATATATATATATATATTTTAAATCTTGTCTTTTACTTAGTGTCTTTTCGTTTTTTGTTTTTTTTTGTTGTTTTTTTTTGTAAATTTTTGTTTGTTTTCTTTTTTTCCTCTTGGAAAGTTAATATAAATTATTCGTATTTTTTTTTTCTTCTTTTCTTTAGCACTATGTATTCCTCCGCTCGCTCGACGTCAAAATATGTATTTCTTTTTCTATATCTTTGTCTTTCGGCTTATTTTTTTTTTTTATTATCTATTTTTCTTTTCTCCTCTGCCCGTCTGTTTGTTCTTGTATTGACCATTCGTTCGTCTGTATGCGAAACAATCCTGATTAGCTCTCCGAGTGACCAACTGGAAGCTAAACGGTTAGTTGATTGACTGTCGGGCTGGCTCGCTGATTGGTTGGTTGATTAAGTGGGTGGATGGGTGGGTGTATCACGCGACTTTAAATGCCAAGAATTGTCCAAGGAGGGCAATCAAATAAAAAACAAATAAAACTATGTTCAAGAAGTCCACAAAACAGAAGACATCTGCGATTTCTGTTTCCAACAAGCCCATTCTTTTCAATAGATTTATTTTTTTCAAAATTCCTTTCGTTTTTCCTTCCATCTTTTTTTTTCTTGAAACTTCACTGCGTTCAATATTTTTACCATGAAATATTAACATCAGTTAATGTACATTTTTTTTCTTTTTACTGAAGAGTTGATATTGAATATATTTTTTAACCTGTAATCTATTAATTCTGGAAAATGTACTTGATATACGTTTTCTAAATTCATGTTTTCTTGCCATTTTAAAAGGATATTTTCTCAAATCTATCGGCATATAAACATATATAAAAATACTATAATATGCTGAACCTATGATAAATATGTAAGCCGGCATATCTTTATGATCCCTATAATTTCGAGAGTTCATTATTAAATATATAATCCTATAATTTTGAGAATTCATTATTAAACATTATGAATAAGAAAATGATATAAAAAGATCAGGCAACGAGTTTCATCCTTAAAGTAGACGACATCAGACTATAAATTTTTATATATATATATATATATATATATATATATATATATTTATAAATAGGAGGGGAATATAAACGAAAACATAGGTAATAATCTTGCAACAAGAGGAAACACTGAAGGTACATTTTAAAATTATTCTTGCTTCAAACGTGTCTTTACACGAAAAAATAATTTAAAATTTACCGTCTCTACATCTCTCCTTGGTGAATTATCATAGGACATTTTCGTTTATAATTTCTCACTTTCACCTACCTAAAAATAATTCCAACAGTAAAAACAATATTTTAGTCTGATGAAGTCTTTTTCAAAGACGAAACGCGTCACACTTTTTTTGCATTTTTTTCATTCTCTTACCAAACATTGTTTTGATATCTAGAAATTTCTATATATTCATCTGTAGATAAATATATATTTTAAATATTACTTTATTGTATAATAATTATTTTATGTTAACAATTTTACAGAAGTAACGTTGACGATAATCACTAAATCCTCCAGAATATCCATCACTTAACTTGTTTTAGTATGAAAATATAATTTTTATTTTTGATTATTTTTTCATTTTTTGACATTGTTCTCACTGTTTTCACTTTGGCAATTAGTAGTTTTAACTTATGAATATATATATATATATATATATATATATATATATATATATATATATATATATATATATATCATGCTATTACAAATAAAAATTGGATCAAAAAAAAATCCCGTACAACATGTTCTATCAAAATTTGCAAATAAACCAACATTTTTGATCGGCTTAAAGAACCCTAGCTCTTAAACTCTCCAAAAAAATTGGCCATAAGCTAATGCTTTCAGGATGAGAGTACAGAGAAAATACAAATTCAACGAAATATCAGATCAACATTCACCCATTTCCAAACAGCCAATCTCTCTTTGCAAGAAAGGATATGTTTAAATTCATGCATACAAATCTGTATCCTTATGTACACACGCCTACATGCATACTCACAAAAACTCTTTCTTCATTGGGGATCTTGTTAGAAACAGTTACTTATAATCCTTCTGTTTTGAAATACTAATACTTATTCAATTCGAAAAATTAAGAAACAATTTTTTAAAATAGTTTAGCCTTGATTATATTTAGTTTTCAGCTTTTTGTATTTATTCAAAATCCTGATGCGTATTAAAGAAACGACATAAAAAAAATATAAAAAAAAAATTAAATTCTTAAAAAATAAAAAAAAATATATATAATCATTCCATGTCATCCGAAGACATACTAAAAGCCATGGGTTTCAGTCTGTAATAATGTTTGGTCGCTCGTATCCAAGTACTCCTGCATTATAGGGTGGCTAGCTAATCCCTATTGCAGGCGCCTGCTCGGGCACATTCAACACCCTAAGAGCACACGTATAGTTTACACTGTAACTATGCTGAGCGGACCTTACTTACTGGGAGAGTTCAACACTCTGAAAAAGACTAGCACGTTCGAACCCTCGGTCACGATGACTTGTGAGTTCAGGCCAGCACAACTATCGACGACTCCCATGGATTTCCGCTTAACCAATTTCACTCACAAAGCTTGAGTCAACTCGCGGTATGGTTTTCAGGCACTTACCAAAGGTTCCGCATGCAGGGTTTGCCTCTACGGACCGATAGCATCAAGAAATCACCTTCCTGACTAATCGACCCTGGTGAAATTTGAACCATCTTTGGAAAGCGAGCGATATAACCATTCGGCCACGTATATAAGTAATTGAAGGTGGGACCACCATAATCTCTCGTTATAGAAATCTCCAGACATATGTCTGTCGTGCCGCGATATCTAGCGAATCAGACCGGCAAGTCTAGCATAGGGCCCTGCATTATCGGAGTTCGAATAGAGGATGATATGAAATTGTAGGGATGTTTGACATCCATAGATCTACGGTGCGACGTGTTTACCGGGAACACCTAATAAAAGGTATTACCTTACTCCATGTTTCTTCATGATTGAAACTAGAGGCGCCTGGCGAGAATTGCTTGTAGTAATAGAAATTGATTCGAATCACATCACCATTCAATGCAGATTTAGAAGAGGCATGTCGCATAAGTCAGTCCTGCGCTCTTTTACTTCAATAGAATATTAGAGCAGAAGACCCACGGGGCTGTCCCTGTTAAAACTATATCACCGGACACAGCATATAATGTAGGCTTGTAATGTTGCTAATTGGAACTTTGTGGACTGGTAACGTGTGGCATGGTCTGAGAAATTCTGGTTATTTCGGACTGATAGATGGGTTCAGAGTTAGTGCAGACCCCATCAGGTTATGAACCTCAATTATCAACAACGTATTGTGTAGACTGGTGGTGATTCCATGTGGGATGGGATTACGTGGCATGGATTGAGTTCACTGGTCTGCCTAAACACGTCATTGACCAGTGATCGCTATGTTGCATTTCTTCGTGACCAGTTGCACCTGTTCTTGGACTGCATGCATCCTAGTAAATATGGCCTGTTCAAGTGAGGATGGTGCACCGTGGTATCGGGTCAAATTTGACCAGGAATGATTTGAGGAACATTCAATAAACTTGACAAAATCCGATACCGACCATTTTTGCCATACCTGAGCTCAATGAAGTATTTATGGGGCGTTATTCGCACTCAAGATTCTACACCTACGAATATGAGGGATCAGTAGACGACTATTGAGACAGAACGGATCAACATCTTTCCAGGGGATTTCGGACCACGTACGGAGTCGATACAATGTTACGTTGTTGCCCGACTAACTGACGTCCTGTTACGACATCAGTTAATTCTCCCATGACTTTTAGCATGTCAGAACAAACCTGGCTGCAGAATTGAAAAATTATATATTTTTGATGAAATCATTTTTTTTATCTTCGTTTTATTTAAAAAATTAAGAATATTTTTTTTAAAAATGTATCAATATTTTTCTAGATCGTTTTTTTTTTTTTCAATTGGCAATTTTTGATTTTCTAAGCTCAGTAAGTTATGTTACTTAAATGTAATTATATCTCAATTTATTTGCAGCTTAAACTGCAAGGATATAATCCATTCGCTCTATGCAATTCTTAGTAAATTGAAATACAGTTTTTAAATAATAATCGTAGTAATAATAATAACGATGATGATGATAGCATGTCTGTGGTTTCGCTGTGACACTTAACGGTATATATAAAAAATATGTTAGGATGTCCTGAATGATAACAAAATGGTTGATTCTAGAGAAAGATATTAAGTTTTGTTACTACAAAAGTTAAAGCAACAAACGTTAGTACGTATTACAATCTCTTTAGTTTCCACCATATTTGATTAATTTGGCTCACAACTACTTCAATTATGTGTAGCTAATTAAAATTAGGAGACAATGTTAATTACCGTAATTCCTCATGTGTAATACGCATTTTTTAATAAGCAAAATCAGGAGTACGTATTATGCAGAGCTACATTTTTTTTAATTGCCGTAAAATAAAATAAGAATTATCATAAAACTAAATTAGGATAATATTATTTTATATTAACCATATTTTAAAATAAGAGTAAGAAAACGTGGTCGTAAATAAATTAGAGAGGTACAGTTTAAAGGGTTTTATTACCAAACAAATTTAAACGTATTATGCGTGCATTTTCCCACATTTTTAGCACAATTTTAGGTGTGTGTATTACGGATGAAGGCGTATTATACATGGTTAATTACGGTTATATATTCTAATTATTTAACCCATCGTTTAATTCCATACTAGTCTGATATTTAATGACTGATTTGTTTTTTACGGCTTATCAACCACTTGCAGGTTATTTAGAGCTATGAAATATTTTTCTGATCTTTATTTTTTTTTAAAGTGATATTTAGTGATACAAGTCTTACTAATTAACCCATCGCCGGAGGGGAGAAGACGTGGGTCCATACATTTGGCGTAAATGAATCGAATGAACCCAACTGTAATTGATGCTTGTCTCGCTGATGAAAAATTTAAAGCCATTATCCATTACACAAGCTGCTTCCAGCACCGGATATTCCCAAGCGGTCACTCATCTACGTAATGACCAGGCTCGACGTTGCTTAACTCGAATGATTGACTGGGAACCGATGTTTCAACGTGATATGGTCGTAAGGTAAATTGTATTTATAGGTTATCACATATATGTCGTGTGTGCATCTAATATCAGATTTAGTTAAGAAAGAATATTCTTTATAAGAAGATTTTGTTTATTTCTTTTGTATCTTAGAAATGGTTCGGAATATATAAAAAAAATATCCATAAAAATAACTTCTGTTGATCTTTAAGCAAACTGGTATAAATAAAAATTACTGTCAAAATACACC